CACAAATGCAGACATGGTTTTATGTTTACGCGGCGCGATATGCAACGCAACGCGTAAAAAGACAGTGTAAGTCATTATAATCCGTAATTATGTCCCCACTGGATGCAACAAATAATCACAATATGGTAAGGGGCGTAACATTTCCGTCACACGCTTGAGGTATTCGGCCAATCACAACGCACTGGATAGCTGGCCAATCACAGCACACCTCGCTTTTCAGACCGATGAGCTTTGTAAAAATCGACGCGTTTCAGAAAGGCGAGGCATAGAGGAGAAACAATAATGTACAGTATATATTTTTTTACCTTAAACCACATAAACACATTGCATTACACCAAATACACAAAATAATGTTCTTTTTAGCAAATCAAATCACCCCTTTAAGTCATGACAAAAATTACATTTTTGGGTGATCATTTTAAAAATAATTTTAAATTTAAAAACTGAAGTTGGTTGAACAAAACATTATGTGTTTAAATGAACTTGTTTTAGTCTCGTTGAATGAACCTACACTAGTTGAGTGGAATCGTTTTCCTTAACGTAATTAAACTCATTGAGCAAACAGTATTTTGCGTGCGCATTCAGCTGTAATGTGTGTATATGCGACCAAAAACTCAACGCCACAATAAGACATCAACAAAAAGATCCCAGTCAGATCATCTCCTCGCAACAGCGTATTTGTATCACATTATTTTCCAAAGCGCATGGAAACAAAGGTAAAAAACAATCAAAAGGTGCTCATGGTGTGCTTTCTGCTCCTTTAATGCAGTCGAGGCGTTCAGACGCCACGACAAGCGAGACATCACAAACAAACCCCAGTGTGAGAGTGAGCGCTAAAAGAGCTCCCGATTTCCTCCACAGCCCTCAGATCTGGGAAGCAGGTAGAAAGCCCTTCGAGGCGACTTCTCACCCACTGCTTAATCTCACCCGCAATCATGCTCAGTGACAGGCGCACAAAGCCAGACACCAAGCACAACAAGGCCTTGCTCTTATGTAACCAGCGACAGCTGGGCGAGCAGAGGAGGGGCGACCCAGCGGCCGAGGCAGCACTTTGTCAGACCCAGACGGGACAATCAGGAAGAGGCCAAGGACGGAGAACGTGGGGGGTGTTAAGGATAAAACAGGATGGATGTGGCTTATGCTAATGCAGGAGGCAGCGTGAGGAATAAGGATGTTGACCTTTCTCTTAGCCGCCCATCGCGCAGACAAAAGCGTCCAGGCCTTGAGTGTTTCGGTGCAGCAAAAGCGTAGTTTGATAAGAAAATTCAGAGATGGGACGGCGAGAGCGAGTTTTTTTCGATTTTTAGCTTTTTTGTTTGCAGCCGTTTTGATTTATGACATCTTTGCATAAATTATCATCACATTTCACAAATTAAGTAACACATCAAATTAAATGTGAAATTTTGAAGCAGAAAGACTCAAAGAGTTTTTTTTTTTTTTGTAAAACACAATCAAATAATATGTTTTGCAACAAAAATAATGAGACTTGCGAGTTAGCTTAATTGTCCCAAAATGTCCTAAAAACGCACTTAATTTTGTTATGCTGTATTAAATAAATTCAATGCACACAGACTGAAGTAGTTTAAGTCTTTGGTTCTTTTAATTGTGATGATTTTGGCTCACATTTAACAAAAACCCACCAATTCACTATCTCAACAAATTAGAATATGGTGACATGCCAATCAGCTAATCAACTCAAAACACCTGCAAAGCTTTCCTGAGCCTTCAAAATGGTCTCCCAGTTTGGTTCACTAGCCTACACAATCATGGGGAAGACTGCTCATCTGACAGTTGTCCAGAAGACAATAATTGGCTTCTATGATCAACTTACAATCAGAAACACAGCTCTGGACTTAAAGAGAAGAACTTCAAACATATCTGCACATATGTTCTACATTCCTCAAGACTGCTCTAGTTCAGTGTGTTTATGTGTGCGTGACAGTGTCTTTCTCACCTTAAAGGTCATGATGAGGTGTGTGAAGTGGAATTCGGCTTCCAAATCCAGCTGAATGGTCACATTTTCAACTCCTAATATAGAGGAATGGATAAATGAGCGAAGAAATAAATAAATGAGGTTAGGAAGAGAGGTTGAAATTCACTGGACTCTTTCTAAATGATGTTTTATGCAACAGTTCCAGTCATCTAATTTGACTGGTGAAGGATGTACTGAATTTGCGCTGATGTTGCACCTTGTGTGATATAACTTGTTGTTACACTACATATATTTTTAATTAATATTACAATCAGATTTTTGAAATGCTCTTAATTTTATATATTTGAGAAAAGCACAGTATATTATTATTATATAATATATAAATATATATAAAATATAAATATATATATATATATTAAAAAAAACGTTTTGGACAGACTTCATGTGATTCATCCATATACGTACATCAGCTTTTATAATTTTCATTATAAACCAATTTTTTTTTTACAGAACATGGAGTAATATAACAGTATTAGTTAAAAAAGTACTCAATAATAAAAAAAAATGCCTTACAGTAATTCGAGGAGGAAATTTAATTAAATGCGGGGGGTGGAGGTCTTAAACCTGTACACTGTCAATGAACACAGAATTTGTATTTTTTTTATTTGATTGTTTTTTGCAGTGTGCAGCTGGACCGGAAAAAGGTCTAAACGTCTAGTCGCACCATATAAAGGGACCTGACTTTTCTTTATTCTTCAGTATAAAGTTAAAGGTGACACGGTGCCACAGTGTTCAGAGGCGCCCAAATGTTTGATTGAATTCCCGTCGCATTCCACATGACGAGGCGTTTCTCACAGACCTCCGGTGCCAGAGAGCCAAGTTACTGGCACACGCTCCTGGAGCCAGAATAGCAGGAGCTAATCAACAGGAAGCAGGAAGATTTGGCCGGGAATCCCAAATACTTGAGTCAAATGACAGAAATGAATGTGAGGAACCCCTGTCTAGTGTCTCACAGGTCTTTACACCAGTGCAGGTCTATCAGAATGAAGAAGGCATTCATAGAAGCCATTGCACTTGTTTATATTTTCCATGATAATTAAACATACCGTTAATATGATATTCCAAACTTAATAATAATGTTTTTATTAAATAATAGGCTACTAAAATAAAAAAGCAATTTTATTATTTAAATTCATGGTGCTGTTTGTTGCACCGCCTTTAGTTTATGCTGTAATTTATTCAATAATTAATCACCTTAGAAAAATAATAATAATTGCATGATTAAATGAGCTTAATTGTCTGGGAATATCCTAAAATATATTTAATATTCCTATGCTATAAATATAACTCTTATTTTTGTATAAAGAAGGGGAAAATATATCATAATATATAAAAAAAATATATACATACATTTTTTTTGGACAGAATTCATGAGATTCATCCATGCACATACATCAGCTTTTACAATTCTCATTATAAACCTATACTTTTACTATATAAAAAACAAACCCTGACCATCAAAACAATTGTAGTGCATGCATGTATGCGTAGACTCAATGCAAAACATCTTGGGATTGTATTTCAGCTATAAAACGGCCAAACTCACCTAATGCATGAGTGCGCATATTCCCGTAGCATTAACAGAACTATCAATGCATCTAGAGGTCAGAGTACAGAGAACCCTGTTCCCCAGAGACTACCGCTTCAGCTCGGACTGGGAGCGTTTCGAGACGCTTTACTTGTCTTCGTTTGACCGTGAAATAAAAACAACTATTTATGTCTTCTGTTTGGCTCTTTAAGTACCCCACGCAGCTGATTCCGGTTTAAAATCTAGCCTCAGTGCTCTTTACTGCAGGTTTTTCTTACTTGATAACATCAGGCTCCAGTCCGGGTTTTCAGTGTGATCCTCGCTTCAATTTACTGTGTGCTTTCCGAGCCGCAGCACGCACTGACAACCGTCGGGATTCCTCCGCGGCTCGCTTGCGTGTACAGTATGTGTGACACTGAGGGGGTTTCAATGCAGTAAAACTACTCGACGTCTACTCGCTACATTTGAGAGTAGCTTTCCATAAAATATTACGTGGCTCGTTTTTTATGGACCGCTGAGCACTTTTAAGACATTCGAGAGAGGGAGGATTTTAATTAACTTAGGCACTATTTCGCTCATCTGCCCTGTCTCGTACACATACAATGCATTCCTGTGTTGCTCCGCGCGTGCTGTGGCCGGGCCTGCCTGCTGTTCCTGTAAACTCCCGCCTTTACTAAAGCAAGCTGAAGCACAGAGAAATAAATGTGTGTGTGTGTCTGTGTGAGAGAAAGTGTGCCTCTCTACACAATATACTGAGAGTTACACTGCTGGATTTATATTAGGGAGGCTACTGTTAAACATAACCATTTTTAATAAAGTTTTAAGATTTTAAGTCAAATGGATTCAAATTAAAAGTCAATGTGAACATGAATTAATACATTTATCGAAGATGTGCCATGATATTATTCGATGCACCCTGAAGTACAATGTAAATACTGTGGTGAACATATAGTATTACAACTGCAACTGCTTTTACAGAAAAATAACGGGCCTATTTCTTTAAATCTGAATATATTTCTATAGTAAATTTCTTATTTTATAGGCTAGTTCACTTAAATATAAAGTAGGCCTATCTGTCGCTATTTACCCACCCTCGTGTTATTCCATACCAATATGCTCTTAAGCTGTTGTTTTCCCATTGAAGACAAACATAATTCTTCTGAATAGCTGTTTTAGCACACAAATTGAACTCACTATTTGTAGAAAATCATCTCTATTACGCATATTCAGATCAGTAAATAAACGTAGAATATATTGTACAAGTCTTTTCGGGGCTGTTTACATGACACCGTTTTTTAACTAAAAACGGGAAACTTTATATGCGTTTTGGCCGTTACGACAATGGCGTTTTGGCGGCCTGAAAACGCAAACTTTTAAAAGCAGATTTCGAAGTGCAAGTTTTTGAAAATGATGTTGTCTCTTTGTAAACTATGAAAATGCGAATTTGTAAAAACGGTGACATTTCTAGTCATCTGTGCGCAGGCGCGTTGTGCTTCTTTACAAAGTGGCATCGCCATCTACTGGCCTGGCATGAAAAATAAAGCGTTTTTAGTCATTTTCGTAGATCTGCGTGAATGGGGATCATTCTAGCTATGCTGTTGACTGTATGCGAAACTTTTTCATTTATTGTTTATTTATTGTTATCGTGTAAACATACCCTTAAGACTACCGTCTATGCACAATGTGAAAATTCTTATAAAATTCTGTTTATTTTATTTTATTTTATTCACAATTTAGCTTTTGTGCTCCACAGAATGACATTAAACTAGTTCGGAATGACATGAGGGAATAAAAATGTCAGATATTTCTTTTTGTTCAGTGAACTACTCCTTTGTTGAACCTTTATATGTCTATGAGCAACACAACCATTTCTCTCTTTTACTTTTATATGCAATAAAGAATTCACAGTTGCATTTATCAATCAGTTTTCCTCCATTAACCTCAATCACGTCTTCAAAACACTTTCGTTTAAAACTTTCTCTATGACATTTATTAACACTGTGCATTAGTATTTAAAGGTCCAGAACAGAAAGTGAGCGATATATCTTCCCCTCAGTCTCGCCATATCTTAAAAGGGGTTTGCTCGGTATAATTTCATGAAATGTCAATTAATCGGAAGGCCTTTGCTGTTTTGCATAGCGCTCTTAACAGGGGGCAGCTCCGCGTGAGGAGAGACCGTCGATTTCGTGGCTGGAGTTGTGGGGGGAAATGAGATTCCAGCGGCCCTAAGTGACAGTTTACGGTCTCTGATTTGGTTTGGGAAGAGATTGCCAGGCAACAAAACCAGCCTGAGTCCTGAATGAAACAGCCATCTGTTCTGCGGCCCGCTAAAACTGAATTAATTTCACATAATCCTGGAATTCAGAGCTAGATTGATGTCTTGGGTAAAACGCTGTAGTTCCTCTTCGTCTGTGTGATCTTATAACCTGGCCTTCGTATTATTGTCTTTTTGGTGCCTTATGAAAAGAAATAGGGCATATTTTACATTTCCTTTGTCACAAAGTACAAATCCTGAAGATCTCCCTGCTTCACCCTCAAACAAAAACACTAACCAGACAAAGGGAGAGTGGGCCGGTGCATCTGCGGTGTAAATCAGGTCATACAAGACTAATCCCTTTGTGTATATGTCATGTTTGGAGGGTTTACCTCGCAATCCAAAAACCTACGCAAAGAGGGCAGCTTTGAGCATTTTGCATCCATTCTTTTGTAGCTTTAGTGGTACTTACAGTTAGGGATTTAACCGAATGATTGATTTAAACGTCTCAAATTGTGTGTCTTGTTGAGGAGTCTTGTCTTATTGGAATGCCTTTTTAAGCGATCTGACTTATTCTTTTTACCTAATGACAATAAAACAAGCACAAAAATACCCACCTACCTAGTCCAATTCAACATAGACGCAATCACAACACACTAGCATGCTCCTGGGGAGTTTTTAACAGGCCGCCATCAAAAACAAAGGAAAAACTATAGCTATAGTATACTCTACTTTTACCATGTTTCGCTGTTTTTGCATTTCAGCTTGTTCTGTTACTTTTATAAGCCATCTGACTACGCTTGATGATAAAAAAACAAAAAAAAACAATACAGCCCTTTTTAGGCCCTATAACCACCCTGAATAAAGTCATGAGCTGTACTTATTAACTCACTTTTACCATGTTCTGCTCAATATTCTGAATGTCAGATTGTCTGCAGTAGTTTTCTAACTTATGATTTATGAAGTGATATGACTCTTGATGACAATAAAAAAATGCAGTAACACTTTAGTTTAGAGACCAATTCTTGCTGTTAACTAGTTGTTTATAATTATGCGTATGACAAGCATATCGGCTACTTATAAAGCACACATTAATGGTTTATTCTGCATGGCCATATTTAAGATCCCTTAATCCACCGCATACCTAAACGTAACGATTACCTCACTAGTAATAAGCAGCAAATTAGGAGTTTATTGAGGCAAAAGTTGTAGTTAACAGTTAGTAAATAGTGAGAATTGGCCCCCAAACTAAACTGTGACCAAAAAAAATGCAACTACTAAAGTTATGGCTGTACTTTACTTACATTTGACCATGTTTTGCATTTAAGCTCATCTCTATAGCAGTGAAATCACGCACCTGCCGGCTCTCTGCTGTGCTGCGCTGATCCCAGGTCAGAGGTCACTGGAAATGTGTCATAGCAACCTGGAGCACATTTTCTGTGAGACTGGAAGCTTTGCGACTGAAACGTGAAGCTCGACTGGCTGTGGTGTGGTGTGTCTGAGACAAACAAATACAATGACCGAATGAACCGTAGAGGTCCAGAAGAGACCGACACATCAGGAAATGACGGGTCAAACGAACCTTTAAGAAATTAATTCATAAACAGTAGCAAAAGCAAAAAGGTCCCTGTTGAAAAAACCAGCATATGCTGGTTAGGTATGTTTTGAAGCTGGGATGCTGGTTTGAGCTAGTCCTTTGCTGGTTTAAGCTGGTCCTTTGCTGGTTTATGCTGGTCCTTTGCTGGTTTGAGCTGGTCCTTCCTAGAGATTGAATGGAGTCTCCTGTGATTTATCTCCTAATCTCAGATCTCAATCATGTCTCAAACTGCGCTCTTTCTCGCTTTCTTCTTTGTCATGTTCATATTTTTTTTAGAAGAAACACGTTGAAATGAAGGAAGCCAGAAAAAAGGACAGCTCGAAACGGGTGTTTGGCAGGAAGAAGGGCTGTGAGGAGGGCGTGCTATTTTGAGCGATGCTTTATAGTGCTCTCGCCTCAATTAATTAAATGGTGGTTCTACAATTTCGAAACGCATTGACAGCATAAAGGAAACCTCTATCAGGAAATACAGCGATGATGAGATCCATAAAGGATTTTAGACAGCAGCAATATCTTTCAGGGCTGTAATTAAGTGTCTGAGCATGTAAAAGCAGTAATTAGACTGGCGCATACAACACTCGACACTGCCATCTAGTGGTTGGGGATGTGAAGTAAACTTTTATGATGACTGGTTTGAGTGCCTGACAAGTACAAGAAAAGGATATGTGGCATTTGTGGTAAGCATTCATATGAGCACAACAAAATATGATCAAGACAAGGGCGCATGCTGTGTCTTTTCCATGCAAGATATATATCGCATATTTTCAGAATCACTTTCACTTAATGTGCAAATTAAGACTGAAGCTGCATTGATTCTGTAGGAATCACATTTTCGCATGTATTGTGTTACAGATTTAAGGCTGGACACACTACTGTTTAAATGTTTTGTGGTTGATAAGAATTAAAAAAAAAAAAGTTTTTGAAAGAAGTCTCATACTCAAAGCCTGCAGTGCTTGATCAAAAAATACAAATATTGTGAACTATCATTACAATTCAAAATGTTCTTTTTTAATGCATTTAATGCATATTCCTTCGGAAATCTTTCTAATTCTGATTTGCTTCTCAAGAAACGTTTCATGTTATTATCAATGCTGAAAACAGCTTCATATGTTTTGGAAACCATTATACACTTTTTCAGGATTCTTTAAAAGAAAGTTCAAATAGAAAGTTCAAAAGAACAGCATTTATTTGAATTATTATTATATTTTGTAAGAATGTAACAGGGTTATTATACTTAGCTAAAACTGAAATCATAAAACCATTTTTGTTACTTAAAATTAACTATGG